TCTCTCTCTCTCTCTCTCTCTCTCTCTCTCTCTCTCTCTCTCTCTCTGTTTCTATCCCTTTATTTCTTTTTCTGTTACTGTTTCTGTCTCTTTCCTCCCGTCTTTTTTCCTTCATATCTCTCTTTCTCCCTCCTCTCTTTTTTTTTTTTTCTTTCTCTTTCCCTCTGTCTGTCTCTCAGTTTGTATTTCTCTTTTTCGTTTTCGTTTCTGTCTACCCGTTTGTTAGTCAATCAACAACGCGGACCGCGATGATATCCAAATCCGCGAGATACATCCACGGGCAAAATAGAGAATTGAAAGAAAGACAAAAAGACGTCCACTCGACAAAGCGTTGTCGGTGTGTTAGTAAAGAAACGAATCTGCGCGCACCGAACCACTCGCTCTTCAGCGATCTCTGCGATCTGTCTTGCTGTAGCGAGCTTTTAACGAGATGTGCGAACCTCCCTCGTTTCACGCGGACGCGGGAGCGTCCATGCATCTTATCGCCGTAACGAGAGACCGATGACGAATTCGCATCTGCGAATTCGCGTCGCACCGATGCGAGAGCACGTTCAATTGCAATTTACGTTCTATCGACGGCATTGGCGTACGGAATATCGGCGGAGCGATTACCTTACGTATTGTGTCAGGATAATTAAGTGGTCGTGAAAGCTAATTGAATTAATCTCTTTAGTAGTAATAGCAGCACATCAACAATAGTAGTAGTAGTCGCTCTCTCATTGCGTTATTCATCATTCACGATAAATTAGAGAACGTGTCGGAGTATCGGTGAGGTAGAAAAACCGTTGATACCAAGACGATTAGTGGACGACAAAAAGAAAGAGCAAGAAAGAAAGAACTCAACTTTGTTTCGTCTCTCTCGCGGACTCGATTTTTCTCTCTTCCGCGATTTCGCTCACTCTCGCTCAGCGAAAGAAAGACGATTGATCGATCGATAGACAGACAGATAGATCGATCGATCGGCGGCCGCAGTGGCTGGAGAAAAGCGCGAATAAGAAAGAAAAGGGAGAGAGGCGCAATTCGCAATAACGAGTATGATCTTGTGTGTTTCGCCGACGTCGGCGCCTCGGCAGGCCTGTCGAAGGGTGTCGGCTTCATAAGGTTCGACCAGCGCGTCGAGGCCGAGCGGGCGATCCAGGAGCTGAACGGCACCATACCGAAGGGCTCGTCCGAGCCGATCACCGTCAAATTCGCCAACAATCCAAGCAACAACAACAAGGCGATACCGCCATTGGCCGCCTATCTCGCACCACAGGCGACTCGTCGCTTCGGCGGGCCGATCCACCACCCAACCGGCCGCTTCAGGTACATTCCACTGTCGCCACTATCCAGGTACCTACTCGCCTCTACTCGCTCTACCCAAGGATTCTCTTTCTAACTTCTTTCTCTCTCTTTCTCTTTACTCTTTAACTTTTCTCTCCCCTCCTCTGCGTTTCTTTTCTCCTCGCTTCTTCTTCTTCTGTTTTCTTCTTCTCTACCCTCTCTACCTTCGGCAACCTCCAATGAAGTTAAAGCCAGCCATGGGATACAGGTGACTCGATCGCGTCGCGACCGAGTCGCTCGTGTGCCAATTGGGCGTTTAACGAGACGCGCGGGAGGAGAGGTGTCGCGTCGGTCAATCTCGACGCGATTTTTAACACGAAAATAAAATCGACGTTTGCGACGAACCGGTGTATCGCGTTCGCGCTGTCCGATTTAACTATCACGTTGCCCACGCACGTGATTGCCCCTTCTTCTGCTTTTATTTTCCTTTTCTTTTCACTATCGGTTGGTTCTCTTGCAATTCTTTCGCTGTGGACTGAGTTCTCCGTCGAGCAGTCTCTTCTTGTCCGTGAACCTGTCCTTATTCATCCATTTATCTATCCAATTGTCTGTTTATTTGATTATCTATTAATCAAACCTGCTGTCTATCTATTTCTCTGTCTATCTACCTATCTATCTATCTATCTATTTGACTACTATTTATCTTTCTCCTTTTCTATCTTTTTCTCTTTCTCGACACACACACACACACACACACACACACACACACACACACACACACACACACACACACACACACAAGACATACACATACACACACACAGCCACGTGCAAACAGGAATATTCGATTAGGTCGATCGATCGTTGGTGTACTAATTTTGTCTCACTGTAACACTGGCTCTTTTTATTGGAAGAAAATATTTTCGTTGCAAGAATTAATTATCGTTGAAAATATATAATTCTACAAAATTAAAACAAAGTTAAAAATGCATCTTTCAAATTTCTCTCTTGGAACCTGTTATTTAACTCGAAGTGTCGCTTATTTTGGGACAGATTTTTTTGCAACAATCGGACAATGAAATGAAAAATACTGAGAGACTGAGTGTATCACGATTGCAATAACGATTGTATAACGTTATTCAGTAATTACGTGCAGCGTGACAATTGCGAACGAAGTAAAAATTCCAAGTGAGAGCACACATTCGTCGATCGGTCGATCTCAAACGATTATCCTCCTACATTCATCGTGCGAATTATTCGACACAGAGCTCCTCCTTCGATATATAATGTGCATCAACATGTCTATCCTTTATCTTAAGTTGTGACTGTGCACGCTCTGTTACTTTCCGATAACGTTGCTCGGACCTTCGCCTCAGCCTACACTGCGATAAATCTGTGATATTACCGTATTACCACTCGCGTAGAAGTCGCACGAAGAATGATCAGCGCGCGTGACATTCAAGTGCAGGGAAACGATATATCTTTCGAGATACGATCTGTTTCTATCTTCACGATACTTTCTCGCGCTCGCGACCCTCACTGGCAGTACGAGCCACTTTCGACCAAGTCACATCGCTGTTATTCGGTAACTTGAAGGCAAAAAGACACGAAAATTAAGAAGTTCGCGCGCGCAGCGTCTCACAAGGGGAGCTCATCAAGTCGAACACTCGGATTGCACTTTTTTGAATTTATTCAATTAAGCTTCTCTTGGTGATACTTGATACCGACATGATGAGGTTTCTTTGTCGGAGTTGTTCTTCCACGAAGAACCGACCAAATAACTCCGTTTTAAATGAAAGGTCTTTCCGTCCGGCGATCGATATTTTTCTATTAAACTTGCATATCGACGAAATAGCCTGTCAAGGGCGATTCGAGAGCTTCGTGACCTTAGCGAATAATAGATCCATTTTCGGTGTAACTTCATGCGGCAACAAGAAACGTCGTTTGGCCCTACTTTATTATTTGCACTATCCTCTTCCAACCGACCACTCATATTGGTTTTCCTTATTCTCTCCTTCATCCTCGTCCTCTTCTTCAGGGCCAACGATCAGCGGATCTCACGGGTGTAAAAACAGGCTGAGATATAAAATATAGACGTGCCTGATATGTCTGATCAAATTCAATCTGTGAGATATCTGTCTATTTGATATTTAATTGACATGAAGCGCACAGAAGAGAAAGTACTGATTGAAGCACGCGTTCCATCTCGCGAAGATCAAACTGATCCTTGGTCGTTTACGAAATATGGAGGAGCAAAGAGCACACAGACACACACGACTGTTCTGCATTCCATGTCCGATACTCGTCGTCAAGTGTGCGCAGTGTCGCTTGCACTGAGAGAAAAAATGTCTAAGAAATTAGAAATAGTTACTCGCGACAGTTACTATTAACACACACATATTTGCTTATATTGATATACACGAGATTATTTTCTAGATGACACACGGAAAAAAAGGTTTGGTTGAATTAACCAAATATCTGGTCGAATATGATCCAAAAATTCCAATTGAAGTAACTCCGAATTTGGTTTAAGTTAACAAGATTTTCGGTTGACTTGAACAGAATTCGAGTTACTTCAATCGAAATTTCTGAATCGTTCATATTCGACCAGATATCTGGTTAATTCAACCAAACCTTTTTCTCCGTGCAGAATATAAATTTTCTCAAAGCCTTAAGAAAACTAACTTTTCACGAAAGCAATTGTTTGTTCTATTTCGGTGAAAGGTTTAAGTCAAAATATATATTATTATATATATATAGTGTGCCCATCACAAATAAATATTTACTATTTCTTAGATATCTCTTCTCTGTGCGGATTGATTGGTGTATGTGTGTGTGTGTGTGTGTGTGTGTGTGTGTGTGTATGGATGCGTGTGTGAGTCTGTAGTGTAAAATTAATGAAGAACTGTTTCTCTTTGATAGTCGGGACACGCCTGACGACAAGTGTACGTTATAGTAGAATCTGAGGACTGTCGTGACAACATTCGCACACATACACTCAACACGTATACACACACATACACAAACTTTCATCCTTTTCATTTCGAGCCTCCCATATGATATGCGCATTAAGTCACGATACTCGATTATTGAAAACAATCTAGTTACAAATACGATCACGTACACACACACACATACACACGCGCGCAAACGTACGGTCAAACGGCGAGTTTCGCTGATACGGAAGGAAACAGACACCCGCAACACATACACACTATACATCTTCATTAATCGTACGTGTCCGTTTGTGTGCTCGTTCTCGAGAGGTAGAGCCGTCGAAAAAGTCTCAACAAGACCCGTCCTCTCTTACCGACATTCGATTGTTTGGTTCTTTTGACAAGTACAAAGCGTTAACCGAGTGTAGACGCGCTTTGCTACCGCTTTGTCTCACATTATCCCCCTTTCACCCTTACGGCAGAGTGGCGATGACAGTTGTTAAGGCTGCCAGCATCCAAGGACACCGCGCTCCCTTGTGCCGAGGATTTCGAGGTGAATCGGACAGAGTCGCTGCACCTTCGCGCGATGATGCGCGCGACTCGGGAATTCCCGCTCGAAAAAGCCGACGCACCGTCTATCTACGTAGCGTCTAAAGTCGCGAAATCGCCAGTCAAGTAGTGCCAGACCTCCTACCCTTTGTTGACGATCTTTCGTTCCGCAGCTTTGACAGCGCATTCGCTTCATTTATGAGTATGATTTCAAGACACGAGTATCGACCCGTTCCCATCGCTTCTTCACTGCCTCCCACGTCGATAATTAACGGTACAACTAACGAAGGACGCCTTGTACGTTCGCACCTCGCGTGTCAGATCGATCACTCGGACGTGATCTTCGCGCGATCAGATCGTGTTGCCTCCTCGACCTGGCTGAGAGCGCGACAGCATTCCATCCCCGGATCCACACGTGTCGCTATCGGGAACGAGCAACGCGATCGAGGAAGACGGAGCGCCGCGAAAACCGCTTCGCTTCTCCGCGAGTCTCGCATTTGTTGCATCCCCGTGACCTCGCTTTCACGGGGTGAATAACGCACCGCTACGTAGAGAGGGTAGAGAAAACCGGATGTGCGATGATCGGCACAGGAAAGCGCCCGACTTATCCCGACTTTGGCTCGATCCCGGAGTATCTCTCTTCTTACGTTGTTCTTTTTGTGTTTTGTTTTAGCACTGGCAAGGCCATGCTTGCCATTAACAAAGGCTTACAGAGGTCAGTATTTTTTTCGTTACTACCACTACGTTCCTCCTGATTTTCGTTTACTTATTCCGTTGTGTGGCTTCATTCTCACTCTTTCTCTCTTTCACTTTCACTCTCATTTTCATACACTCTTTCTTTCTCTATACTTTCTCTCTCTCTTTCTCTACTCTCTCTCTCTCTCTCTCTCTCTCTCTCTCTGTCTCTCTTTCATTCTCTACTCTCTCTCTTTCTCTCTCTATAAACTCTACCTCTATCTATGTTTCTCCCCCTTCTTCAACTCGTTACGAATACCTAAGCCACGCGAAGTAATTTCTGGTCGTTGACGCGGACGCGACGGAGCAGACGAGATTGCTTATAATTTGTATCGCTCGTGTTTTTTTTGTCTCTCTCTCGATCTTGTCGAGTCATTCTTGCGTTCTCGCGCGACCGATTGTTCTCCGTGACGTGTAAGAAGATTCGTTGCTGATTTATTCCAGGCAATCATAAATTTCGTAACGGGGCCCCGTTTTGTCACCACACTTGCATTCTTCACGCCTTTTCGCTTCGACTTTGGTTCAATTCAGTTGTGCAGAACACACAGTACAGTGGTAGCTGTATATCGATGTCACGTATTATTGGGTTTCGCAAAAAAAAAAAAAAAAAAAAAAAAAAAAAAAAAAAAAAAAAAAAAAAAAAAAAAAAAAAAAAAAAAAAAAAAAAAAAAAAAAAAAAAAAAAAAAAAAAAAAAAAAAAAAAAAAAAAAAAAAAAAAAAAAAAAAAAAAAAAAAAAAAAAAAAAAAAAAAAAAAAAAAAAAAAAAAAAAAAAAAAAAAAAAAAAAAAAAAAAAAAAAAAAAAAAAAAAAAAAAAAAAAAAAAAAAAAAAAAAAAAAAAAAAAAAAAAAAAAAAAAAAAAAAAAAAAAAAAAAAAAAAAAAAAAAAAAAAAAAAAAAAAAAAAAAAAAAAAAAAAAAAAAAAAAAAAAAAAAAAAAAAAAAAAAAAAAAAAAAAAAAAAAAAAAAAAAAAAAAAAAAAAAAAAAAAAAAAAAAAAAAAAAAAAAAAAAAAAAAAAAAAAAAAAAAAAAAAAAAAAAAAAAAAAAAAAAAAAAAAAAAAAAAAAAAAAAAAAAAAAAAAAAAAAAAAAAAAAAAAAAAAAAAAAAAAAAAAAAAAAAAAAAAAAAAAAAAAAAAAAAAAAAAAAAAAAAAAAAAAAAAAAAAAAAAAAAAAAAAAAAAAAAAAAAAAAAAAAAACAAGCCTCCTTGGTTCTCCGTTCTAACACTTATTTATACATAGCGTTATTTGCAACCAGAGCTCCTCCCTTAGCGACGACACTCGCAACGGCGACGCGGCTTATAGAATATTTCAGACCCTCTCGTCCTTCGCGCGATCGCAGATCGAAAAAAGACGGCTCTTGTTCGACGGTACGTAGCGCAAACGACGGGATTGGCGAACGTCGCGCCATACCGTGCGGCGAGAAGATGTTCCGCGCGACTTTATCGCGATTTCCGCCGGAGTCCTTTGCGTGTGATTAACGTCCGATCAAAATTAAATATCTCCACGTAATTATAACTTAGCGGTTGTCTCTCCGCGGGACTATTCGATCCTACACGGCCGAGAAATTCTCATTATAATCTCTTCACAACTCCTCGCGATTTTTGCGTAGAACGATTCTTTTCACGAGAGATTCAAAGTAAATGAGAACCGACGATTTCTCATCCTTCCCCCCCTCCCCACCACCAACACCACTCAATTGTCCGGGAGTGTACGTCTCATCCTGAATCCTCGTGTACATACGAAGAGCTCCCCGGATGCAGAGACACTCGTACAAGTATATACTATACTTATGTGTGTACATAACGCCTGATGAACAGCGAGATAGCGCGCAAGCAACGCGATGTGTTACCCCCTCCCCCTAATTTCCCGGTCCTCACGACTCCATCGTTTCTTCTTTTCTCGTTTCTTCTCGCCCCCACACGCATACAGCACGCGCATCATATATATACACACACACACACACACACACACACACATACACTCGCACACAAAGCCGCACGCATACACGCGCGCGTGTAAAACATACACGCATATATACACACACACACACACACGGAGAGAGAGAGCCACAAATACACACGGAGACACGCGCATACACGTTTACTTCGCGATGATACGGAACAACGTTCGTGACGAATGCATACGTAATTACTGTGGCCTCGGCATTATACTGAGTACTCACCGAGATATGCCCTGTTTTAACGCGGCTTGTGACGTCAAGTAGGTACGTAGAGATATTTTTACAACTGTAAATACCCCCCGTCCACCACACCCCTGCCACCCTCACTTTTAGGTACACGTCGCGTGGGACATGCAGCGTGTACCATCATACTGTATACTACTCCTCTACCTTTCTCGCAAATTCTCGCTTGTCGGTTCTGAAACGGTAATAAATGTGTCCGATTCATTGACACGGTCGATCACGCTTCGTGAGTCTTGACGGAGGAAGCGTGTCACGATCCAAGGAGACGGCTTGTGGTGTTTCTTCTTCGAGAAGAAACACGCTCTGCACCTATGTGTGTGATCTTTGTCTTGTTGTGCATGCGAATGTGAACGATATCCACCCTGCTCCTCCCTTCCGACACGGAGGCGTTGTGTTTCGATTGAATACGCTTGCCCGACAGAAATCGCTTGTTGTGACTTAGGTTGTACGAGATAGGAGCAAGTTTCTCCTGTTGTGTTGTTCGGTTAACGCGACGTACTTGCGAATTTTGATCTCGGTACACCCGAAGTATGAAAGAGAGAGTAGTGGTTCCCCCTCGTTAAAAGTAGACCGCACTCTTTTACGAGATCTTGCTCTGTTCGATTTTTGTTTCTCCTCGCTATGATTCGCCCTCGATTCGCATCCCTACCTCCCGCTTTCTACTTCGCGTGCCGTGACTTGCGACGCCAGTAGACAGAGATTTGCGTATGATTGCTTGATGTCTTCTGTTGCTTTGCAGGCTGCGTTCAAAGGAACAAATGATTTGCCAATGAGTCGCCAAAGTCGTATCACGGGAACAGCGTGGAACGCCTTTTAACGCAATCTGCAAACTCGAATCAACCGCTCTTTCTCGCGTTCTGTGCGGCGATATTGTACTTTTCTCACGTAGATATACTTACATAGATGTATATACTTACATAGATGTGTATACTTACATAAATGTAAATACCTTCCTCTTATAAAGCGACAAGTAATGGCGTGAAATCGCGGCTTTCTCTAATTTTGTCTGCGCTGAAAATCCGTGCGTTTGTTTAGTTGGCAAATCCGCCGTGTTGAACATAGTCCCAAAATTAACACTCCTGTACTTTGTGTGTGCGTGTGCGTGTTATGGCATGTTACCTCTCTTTAGCGTGTACACTTTGGATGCACAGAGAAGCTTGCACGCTGTCGTTACATCACCTGTATTAGCGTCATTGTCTCGTGCATCGTTGTGCGTTAAGTTACACGGCACAAATTATCAGTTCTTGCGTAGCCTTTACATGTTACTGCCGCACATTCTCGCCGCGGTGTCGTCGTGCAAGTGCCTGCGATATATACCACGTGTCGTATCTGTGTAAATGAGAAAATCCGACCCGCGCGAAATAAATATACCACCTCGATATATCTGCATATGTATATTCGCATCACTATATAACACGTTCAATCTCATTGGGATTGCGATATGCTGTGCGAGTAGCGTATAACGTAAAACCTTATTTAGACATACTTTCCACTCAGAAAGGCAGAATAGTTCCAGCAGGTGTAATTATAGCCCGAACGGTGCTCAAACGTTCTTGACGTCCGTGACGAGAGAGACGTGATGAGAGAGACGTGAGAACGATAATAAGATACAAAATAAGAGCGTTGCGCAGTATTTATAGAACCCAACCGCGTTATTTAGAATGCGCCTCTTTCGTTATTCCGAATATCGTTCCTTGAATATCACGACATTCGCAGGAGACGCGATTCAGATGAGCGTGAATGAAATTATCGTATAAATTTATAGAAATTACTTTTAGCCACACACACACGCGATATCGTTCGAACCAATTGTACCGAGTGCCAAAATCGACAAAATTGTACTTTACATGCTAAGAAATACAGGCGAAAATCACGAATGTCGATTTTCGAGTTGTGGTTGGCGTTTCAGCATCGTTCGTATTCTCCAGTGCGTGATGAGTCCGCGGCTCGGCCAACCGCCTCCGCCATCATCTCCTCCTCCTCCTCCTCCTGCTCATCATCTCCCACACTCCTGCCCGCTCTTGAACGCGACGATGTCCGTTTAATGACCGGTGCGGCATCGTGTTCCAGGTACAGTCCGTTGGCGGGTGACCTCCTCGCGAACTCCATGCTGCCCGGTAACACGATGAACGGCGCCGGCTGGTGCATCTTCGTGTACAACCTCGCGCCCGAGACCGAAGAGAACGTGCTGTGGCAGCTGTTCGGACCCTTCGGCGCCGTCCAGTCGGTCAAGGTCATACGCGACCTACAGACGAACAAGTGCAAGGGCTTCGGCTTCGTGACGATGACCAACTATGAGGAGGCGGTGGTGGCCATACAGAGCCTAAACGGCTACACCCTGGGCAACCGCGTGCTCCAGGTCAGCTTTAAGACGAACAAGAGCAAGACGGCGTAGGACGAGCAACAGGCGGCAGCGGCGGCGGTGGCTGCGGCTGCGGCTGCGGCCGTGGCGGCAGACGCGGCGGCGGTAGCGGCGCCCTATCATCATCGTCGTCATCGGCTGCTACGCACCGCGGTGGTCCAGCTACCGGTGCCGATGCCGGGTCACTTCTACAACAAGAGGGGACCTGGCCAGGTGCCGGGCGCGAATCCCGGTAACAGTATCGGCAACACTCACCACGGCGGAGCCGGCAACGGCATTCTCCACGGTGCCAAGGGTCAGCGGCAGCCGTTCCTCCAGCGCCTACCGTCGCGCATACACGATCTCACTCGGGCGATCGAGATGGCCGTCTCGGGAGGGGCGAATCCGGTGCAGCAACAACAGCAGCACCATCACCATCAACAGCAACAGCACCAGCGTCAGCACGCGCAAGCCAAGCAGCAGCAGCAGACCTCCTTTAAGAACAAGCCCAACAACAACCGTCAGGCCGGCGGCAAGAAGCTCCAACAGAGCGAGAAAGCGTAGTTGCGAGGCGTGAGTGCGTGTGTGTGTATGTATAACGTATGTATTTATGCATGTATGTACGTATGTATGTATGTATGTATGTATGTATGTATGTATGTATGTTTGTATGTATGTATGTATGTATGAAAACGAAAGAAAGAAAGCACGCATAATGAGAAACATATGAATGTGCGTGAAAGAGAGAGACAGGGAGAATAAAGAAATGAAAACACGAGGGATAATAATGAAAAAAGTCGCGCGGAAAAGATAATTGGGTTTGTGATAAGAAGGTGATGGGTATATTTGGGGTCGTTCAACTGTGTCTGACAACATAACGCGCGACTGAAGCTTGCTGAATGACTTGAGACGTGCTGAGATCTCGAATTTCCCTCAACAGGGGGTAACAGGCGATAGGAAAAGACGCGACATTATTATAGATGCGCGCGAGTCAATCGCGTCGGCTTTTCTTTCTCCTTCCGTACGCCTCAGCCGGCGCTTGCCTCACCCTCGCGCGTTTCTATCCTCGCGTTCGACCGCGGTCGAGGACGCAACGCGACGACACGGCGGGAGAACGAGTTAGACCCCCAGCGTTGACGAGTATTATCAATAAGCAGCTCACGCTCAAGACCGGACCAAGAGCGAACAGATGATCGAATTGAGCTCTCACATGGCGGCAGGATCGAGAATGTCGCTGGGGAAGTCGCTCGTTTCCCGCCGCTCTCCGGGACGTAATCGACGCGCGAGGACGACACGAAGACGCGAAGGCTCGGCGGAGAGTCGGCGAGACGAGGGAACGGAGGGAGCGAGGGGGGCAAAGCATGTGTTTTTAGGACTTAGTACGCGGCTCGCGCACAGTGACCGATCGCGGGTCCTGTACATACATATTACCGATTTATATGTATATGTACGTGAGGACGCTCGTGGGCCACGTGATGCCCGTTCGTGCGAACGTTTCCCGCAGGATCGGAACGGCAGGATTGGGAGAGCTCGAACGGCTTAGATAGAGAACAGGGCGACGGCGAACAGGCCGACAGCAGGGAGAGGGAGCACATGTGGAGGAGAGGGAACGGACTCACCTCCGCAGTAGGTTGACGAGATGGCGTCGAGAGCCTCCGCCGGCACTTACGGCCGATCTTCTTTTTTTTTTTTTTTTTTTCTACTTAACGTACATCCACGAGACCGGGTTAGTCACGACGATATCGGGCTGTGAGACTGAATCACACGTATATACACACCACACACATACAGACACGTGCACATCGGTACACGTACTTACATTACATACATAAGTACATACATACACGTGCATACACACTCATACGTGCACGTTACAACTAGAAGAATGATCAACAACAAGATACGCGGCATTGAGAACGGCGGGCTGTCGTGGAAGAATAATAATAATGTGTTGCATCGGGCCTCTCGAGACACGACGCGCTTACGCGAGACTACTCGTCGCGGGGAACACGTGGATCACGTGACAGCACCCTCGCGCTTCCTGGTCGCGAGCGAGATGTGAGAAAGGGTGACAGAGCGGGTGGGAGAGAGTGAAAGAGAGAGCGTGAGAGAAAGGGGTGAGGAAGACAGAGAGGGGGAGTATTAAAAGAATGCAAACTCAGAAACACACACAGTGCTTAGTAGTAGGTGGTTATACATACTCGTTTTATGCATAAGTTTTAGAGAGTATTAGCGTCGTGTGTATGAGAACGAGAGAAAGGGAGAGGTGCGGGAGAATGCGATGAGAGGGTATCCCAGTGTGAAGAGAGCGAGAAAGAGAGAGAGAGAAAGTGAGAGAATGATAATTGAAGAAGGGACGCAACGTATCTCGCAGAGATACACTAGGAACGGTATTGGGGGACCGTTTGACATACCAAAGGTATTATTAATTAATTAAATACTGAATTAATCGCGAGGGACGTCGCGAGACCAAGATTTAAGGGTTACGAAAGGGCAGGGACCGGGTGTTGCGCGCGTTGATGACACGTGGAGACGAAACGTCGCGAGGGAGAAAGGGTTAAAGGAAAGTAGAGGAGAGGGTATCCCGGACAGGGCTCGCACTCACGATCTTTCGAACGACCACGAGGAAAGATAGAGAGAGAGAGAGAGAGAGAGAGAGAGAGAGAGAGAAAGCACAGACGTTTCTCACAGTGCGCGGACACGGTGTACTTAACGTAACTTATTAGTTGGATTAAGATGCTACCGTTCGACCACGGGCATCCAGAGAGAGAGAGAGAGAAACAGGTATATTTATTCTCGGAGGAGAGGCTCCGCGGGCGGCGCAGAACAGTAGAGAATCGAACGAGTCGATAGTCACATAGTGAGAGAGAAAGAAAGAGAGAGGAAGGGAGAGCGATGAGAGAACTCGAACGGAGGGCTCACGTCGCGGTATGGTGTGAAATCACCTACAAAAAAAAAAAAAAAGAAAAGGGAGGAGAATTTATTAAAGCGTTTCTGTATTATTATAGTTCGCGCGCTAGACGGCGCGCTTTCGTAGCTCTCAGCCTCGCGGATACACGCTCGTACGTTGTCGTTGTCATCGTGATATATATCGAGTGCGTGTGTAGGCGGCGACACGCGCCGACGTGGCCGTTCTTTTTCTTTTCTACGTTTCCCTTCGTACTTTTCCACGTGAGAGCAAGAGAGAGACCTAGGTACTTAGGTGTGTGCGCGCAGCTGGAACAGAAATACCGGCCGCGCAAGGCCAGTCTGACTCTCGACAGTTTTCCCACACCCCCCGCGAAGGCGCACCGTCCGAGGGGGATATTTTACTGTTGTACGATTAAACATTATGCGCGGCTGCTTCACGGCCCTTTCTTTTTATAATAGATTTTGTGGATAGAATTGCTGAGCGAGAAGCTGAGAATGAATCGGGGCTACGGACATGATATCTCGCCCGACGGGGATCAGGAGTAGCGCCTCCACGGCCTTCTCGTGCGCGCTCTTTTGTCACGAGAACAGCCGTCTCGGCACGGCGAGAATCGACGGCGCGTGATTTAATCGCGAGACATAATCATCATCATCGTGTTTGGTTCTACGCCGCTCATCGTTGATTAATCGAATATTTTTCGTCACTTTCGGCAGATATACGTGGGAGAGTATTCGCTGGGGCAGGGAGCGATCCCTGTGCCGCTTCTTATTCCCCGTGAACCGCGAAAGGGAAGGACAAAGGTCCCGTCCTGGCCGCGTCGTCATCCCGGCGATTGTCACGGGACAATCGCGCCTCATGCATTCGCGGACTTTATTCGCTTTCCTTCAGAGCCCTGAGCCCCCCCGGAAGGGCGAGATTCTCGCGTTACTGCATGTATTTCGAGGACGGTGTGCACGGGTAATGTGATACAGGACTGATAGGACTAATTCAACGTTCGATCTCAAGTCAGGTTTAAGGAATTACGCAATCTAGTCTTACGTGCAACTTACAGCCGCGTTGTCGGTGTGATCACGCGTTCGTGTTACTCCCCTGTGTATCCTCTCCCCCTAAAGAAAAGGAAAGAAAGAGAGAGAGAGAGAGAGAGAGATACTGCCAAGATAACGAATATACACTGGGAGGAGGGGGAGAGAAGCGGCGTCTGCATACGTGCTCATTCTTAATTCGATTAATTACGAGGTAACGTTCGGTTAAGTGAAAAAAGCGATCCCTGTCTTCTCTCTCTCTCTCTCTCTTTCTCCCCCTCTCTCACTTTCACGCTAATTTGCGTGCACGACATCGCGATCGATCCATCTCACCTTTCAAAAGGAATCGGTCATTGCGTCACTTTTCCCGGAAGTGAATCTCAACATTGGCGATCCGAACCAAGAGATCGACGAGCGTGAGAGAGCGAGAGCAGGGAGAGAGAAGAAAGAGAGAGAGAGAGAGATTTAATTAGCGAGTGAGGCGACACTCGATTAAGAGTAGCTTTAGTCAAGGAAACCAAAAGAGAATTACGTATGTAATTGTCGTATATAGTGTACCTATTTGTATCTAGTCTGGGAGAGCGGCGACGATGAAGTTGCGTCTCCCTCTCGAGAGCCCGTCCCGCGGCTCCCGGCGTATCTCCCGCGTAGCGTCGCGTTTTTCTTTGTCCTTTTCTTTCTTTTACTGCTCCGTGTATTGAGCAATCGTTCTTGAAGCGTTGGGTCGCCCTCCGATCGCCCGCCGCGGGAGGACGCGCGAACACAACGTAGACACGTAAAATGCATAGGCAGGTATATATTAATAAGTGAATCGACGCGCCGAGACGAACGGTGGTTAAGAGACGCCGCCGCCGCGCGCGCGTGCGAAATAAAGAAGAAAAATAAGAAAATAATTAGAAGTGTGTTCCTTTTAGCTGAACTGCCCGAACTGACGCACACCGTCGCAATAAGTCAGAGGTTGCGATCCGTTAGACGCTGCAAATACTCTGAAACGCCGTATAAATCAATCATAGCTTTTCTTTATGCGCTTCAGAGCATTTGTAGCGTCTAGTGGATCGCACCCAAAGTGAGGCAAATGTGTTTTGCTTCATCACTCTAACTTATTGCACCAATTCCAGACAGTTTAGCCAAAAAGAACAGACTTGAAGCACGCTGATCGGAAGCTGTGCGAAATCGATGAATCCAGTCTCTCTTCCACACGCGAGTTGCCACGTAAGACGCAGGCGCCGCCGTTGCATCTTTCCTCGCGCGCTAGCGAAGAAGAGTGCAGCGTGTTTTGCTTGCGCTACTCTTTTTTTTTTTTTACCGGGACGCGCGTGCCAAAAACGTTGCTCGAAAGGAGGAAGAGTAAAAGAATAGGCAGTCGCAATGACGTCAGAGTGACCAGAGGAAACTCACTTTTCAACGAAGGTTCGATCATTCCGCCGTCACTTTCGTGTCATCGTGACTCCCTGTTCTGCCTGGGATTGGACTTCTCGTGTCGCGGACATGAAATACACGAGAGATCGTGGCTCGACAGCATCCTCTTAGCATCAACGAGCTGCCACGTCCGCTCGTTGAGAGGAAGAGGGAGCAAAATCGACGATTGGTCTTTCTTCCGCTGTAATCACGAGTAATCACAAAGTGAGATTGCACGTCGCGATTGTACGTTTTCTCGCGCGTCAGCGAAGATGTGTGCAGCGTGACTTTTGCGCGGAGACAGGATAGGCCGGTCGCGAATCGGATCAGACTAGTGTTCGGAACGGTTGTCGTTGGTCACCCTCTTCTTTCGAACGAGCTGTCTCATCTCATTGTACAGCTGTTTTATATTGAGCCAGTCACCTCTGGCACGATGAGATCGCTCGTTTGGGACGAGAAGCTAACGGCGACTCAGGCTTACTCTCTTCCGACTCACCTGGGTCCACCCTGCACGTAATCGCATCGTCCGCACGGACACACCTCGCGGTACGAAAAGGAGAGTCGCTCGAAAAAAAAAAAGAGAAGAGAGATGTGGACTCCTCGTTTCGCGGACATCACATGCGAGAGCAGCTTGCCTCGACGTCAGCTCTCAATCGTGGCCGCTATATCCGTTTTTTCCTCCCTCCACACACACATACAGACACACACACACACATACAGCGTTTGTCTCGCGTTTATTATGTGCAGTTACATTTGCCATTACGATAACGATTCTTCTCCTTCTCGCTATTATTACCGTACAATTATATACTGATTATTGTGGTTACTATTATTATTGCCATCGTAACATCGTCATTATTATAATTATTATTATTATTATTATTAATATTATTAATATTATTATTATTATTAATTATGATCGTGTATATTTTCTGTGTTTCTCGTCGTGATAGCTACGTATATAACCCTCTAACGCTTCATTATTACTTACTCTCGTGAAGCTAGAGAAGGATTAAAAGCCAAAAAAGGGAGAAAAAAGATACTTTACCGCTCTCACTTCATTTCCTCACTTTAACACATCATCGCTCTACTTGTCGCCACTTTTTACCACCCGCTTGAATAACTGCTGTTATTATTTATCGCTCTGTCGCTGTTACCATCACTATTACCATTACTACCACTACTACTACTACTATAACTATTACTACTACTACTACTACTACTACTGCTACTACTACTACTACTACTACTATTACTACTACCGCCGACTATTTATTTATTTATTTAATTAATTATTAAATAACATAATTATTATGTTTTATTTAAGGATTAAACTGATTTGTGTTTGGTTCAAACGTCGTTTGTTTTATTTCTATTAAAATGTTTCAGTTGCCACACCGACATCCCGTCCTACCCCCATTATCGTCGATCCGTCCCTCCAGCATCACCACCACCACCATCATCATCACCACCATCACCACCACCACCACCATCATCACCACCACCACCACCACCACCATTACCTTCCTCGCCTCCATTCTCTCATCGACTTTACATCCGACATTCCACGATCTTTTCCTGACATTCCACGAGTCACAGACTGATGTAGTAGTAGATCGATGTGTAAACGTTACGGCGAGCCGCTCCGACACCTCGATGCACGAGACACGCTCCTGGATCCTGGTTCGTAGCGTCCTTATTATTATCACATCGTAATTATTAATTATACTCACGGTACACGGGGACGCCGCCGTCACGACGAGTCGCTCCTGAAACTCGCAATCGCCAGAGACGATTTTGCCGGCGCGACGGGAGAAGGCTAAAATCGCGTCGAACGACGCGATTGGGACGCGAATTTCGATCGAGGATGTGGGAGTTCCTTTCCGGGTGACTCTCGCCGGAAGCGATCGACTTTCGACGTGCTCGGCGGCGTTCTCAATAGTTCAGAAGGCATCTCCATGCGTGATTCGAGGCTGCGAGTTTTCACATTAGCCCTTAAGCCGAAATCAGACTAGCGATTGCCGACTGACAATTGGCGATTGGCGATTAGTGCTTGACCGATCAGAGCAACATCAATCAGTAGCTACTTTGTTTTAATTGGTTGAAAACTAAGATCGCTAATCGCCAGTCGTCAATCGAGCGTTGCTGGTCTGATTCGGGCTCTAAGCACTCTGCTTTGTCGCCGGAGCGCATTCGTTCCCGAAGAGGGAGAGACTCGGCCGACATCGCGAAAATAAATCGTCGCCCTGTCGCATCGCGACGGAATAACGCGGCCCATCGCGTTCTCTTCGTTATAGAGGAGCTGACGGGAACGAAGAACGGCGATCGTCGAATTACTTTCGCCGTTGTTCCGGGAAACGGCGAAAGCCGCTCGAACAGACGAGCACCTCGTTACGTCGAATTTGCGCGAAATCATCGTCGAGAGAGACACAATCGAATTACGCACGCTTCTGCCAACGTCGGTTAATCTGAATTTTTTTTTAAGTCTTGATTCGAGTATGTCGAGGTTTGAAGTCAAATTAAGGTGCTGTCGACGTTGGCACGGTAACGGGAGCAAGTTATTCCCCGTCCACGGCGAAGGTGGAGAGAGAAAAGTACTTGACAATTTATCTGTGGGATGTAAAGCTTCTGTTTCTGCGAAGGAGGTGAAGTTTATTCTTGCGAGATAAAGCTTTCCTCTGCGAAAAATAAGCTCTCGTCCCACACACACGCACACACACACATACATACGCAGAGATAAATGTTGGAGTATCTTTCCTTCGGTGAGCGTAACTCGGTGCTTCCATTTTGAATCGCGCGTTTCGCCGAGCCCAGTGACGAAATTTCGAAGAATCGTCGCGAGGTCCTTTTCGCATTCGTGAACGAGAGAACGACGATCTTGATCGATCAGATACCTTAGATTATTACACACGAGAAGGGAGAGGAGAAAGGGCGAGGGGTGAGATCGGACGATCGAAGAGTGGTGCGAGCCCTGTTCCGCTCTTTAGGATGTCGACTCGCTCGCAACGATTCGCCGACGTGTAATTCGGGCGGAATAAATGAAGGAAGGGCGAAGGGACGAAGAAAAGCGCGTTCGGGAGAGAAAGGCAGAATGAAAGAGCAAGTGAGACAGAGAGAGAGAGAGAGAGCGAAAGTGAGTGAGAGAGAGAGACAAGTATGAGAGGGAGAGAATGGAAGAAGGAGCAAATGTGAGCACGCTAATCTACTTAAATAATAATATTACATACGATTATTACGTTAGATATACATTATGTGTATTGTATTTATGTCTCAATAATCGTTGTTAGTTATATCGCTATGATGAAGATGATAATGAGTATGATATTACCGATGACTTCAGAGAAAGGGGAAGGGACACATACATGAGACACACACGCGGAATCAGAGAGACGCGCACATACAAACAGTACGTAATGCTATTCGAAACACACACGCGGCAGCGCGACGACGCGAGATTCGCCTGTACGAGCGCGAAGGAGAGAGAGAGAGAGAGAGAGAGAGAGAGAGAGAGAGAGAGAGGTAGAGAGAAAGAGAGAGAGAGAGAGAGAGAAAGAAATAATAAAGAGAGAGCGTCGGTCTCGCGTCGCGATTCGCGGCGGGCACTTTTCGACTTGGTCGACTTTGAGATTGAGTTTGTGGACCGACGCGTATGATCGATTCTGCGGCACGCAGAGAAATGCCACGTAAATTTTCTTCAGCACTCTCCGGAGCGTGTGTGAGGCGGGCTTCGTTCCGAGTTGATCCGCGCTTTCGCGAGATGTTGAATTCGAGTCGAGTGAAATTTTTCATTTCGTTACGTTAGACCCACTGAGTTGGAAGCTTCCATTCTGAAATCTCTCGGGTCTTCTTTTCGAGCGGAATAACGAGCGGCATCACGCCGCATGATGACAACACGACGTGAACTCGCGTGTCGCAGGGAAGAACGGGTTCGCCGGAATCGCCGACGCGCGCTCAACGCTGATTCCCCCGCGAGCTCGCACCGGTGCCCTCGCGAAACGTGGACTTTCCCGACGGCAGGATAAACGAGAAGAAAAAAAAAAGATAAATAAATAAATAGAGGCATCCTGTTATCTCCGAAGAGACGAGAGGCTCGAAGTAGATCGGTACATTCGCGATTTCTAACTGATTTCTGCGATGGACGAACGATATTACATTTATTAAACGATTTACATTTAACCATTAGTCGCATTATCGATATTATTGTACTACTAACTAGCGCTCGTACCCTCTTATACTCGTAAAAAAAAAGAAAAAAAGAAAGAAAAAGAAGAAGAAGTTGATGATGATAATGTTGATGATGACGATGATGAAGAGAGGAGTG